CTGCTGGTGATAGTAGACTTTGAAGGATTTGATGAATCAAAGACATCAAAAACTTGCGAAAAGTTTGAGTCGAACAATATTGTTTTCATGTACAGAAATAAGTAGAAATAACAAATAAAGGGACTCTGCTTGTAGTGGGGTACACATATACAGAATTTCCCAGATTGGTATTTAAATAGTATTTTATATTGTATTACTGTTATTGTTCAACAATGATAATTAAAATTTATGTTCAAGGTTAGTCGTTTTGCCTCATAATATTTTTAATGATTATGTTGTATCTTAGTCAAGCACTTTTTAAAAAATCCTGTCTGTTGTTTGAATCTGTCACAGTATTTCTGACCAATTTTTGGATGCATAAAAATAATTTCTGTAATTAATAAACAATCAAAAAAAATCAAATTCATTGTCAACAAACAACAACAGCAACAAAAGGAAAACCTGTAAAGTTTTTTGGTTTTTTTTTTTGGTTGATTCCACCTTGGTGGCCTTGGTGGCCTCAGGATCTCGTCTCTACTTTTTGTGGATGACGTGGTTCTGTTGTCCTCAGCAGATTTCGTTCTCTAGCTTGCACTTGAGTGGTTCACAGCTTTGTGTAAAACTGCAGGAATGAGAATTAGCAGCTCCATGTCCAAGGCCATGGTTCTCAGTAGAAAAAGGTGAGGTGGCTGACCCAAAGTGGCGGAGCTCAAGTATCTTGTGTCTTGTTTACAAGTGCCAGGACTTAACGGACAGATTGGATCACTGCAGACAGTGCCCTGATCTGTTGTGGTGAAAAAAGTTCAGATCATGAATACAAGTGTTGGAAATGAACTTTCTCTGAATGGTGGTTGAATGGGCTCACAAAAAGGATGAGGTACAGCTATCTGGAAGGGGCTCAAAGTAGAGCTGTTACTCCTCCAAATCAAAAGGAGCCAGTTCAGGTGGTTTGCACATCTAATTAGGATGCCTCCTGGCTGGCTCCTGGACGAGGTGCTCTGGGCATGTCCTACTGGGTTAGGACACACCTGCAGGACACACCTGCAGGACACTGGCCCTCGAGGCCTGGAGTTGGACACCCTTGGTTTAGGCTGTTGCCCCCGAGAAAGGGAGAGTAGAAGAGAATGGATGGATGGTTTGTGGCTGAGCAGTATGACAAGTCAGATAAAGCAGCATATATTTATTTTATACTAGAAATAGCTGTAATATTCATGTACCATTCATGGTGTTTACATATTTCAATTTCCAAATGTACTTAGAACACATGACCAAGAAACGCATGACTCAATGAATGAACAATGAAGTGCATGTAAGGTCAGTCATTCCACTGGGCTCCAAGCAAAATCAGATTATCTGCCTTTGAAATGCCTAATATCTAATATCTCGAAGCTCATCCAATTTTGTTTCTTTCATCCAAGAAACACAGTAAAAATCAAACTTCGGTGAAAACTTAGTACACAGTTATTCAGATTGTTGTTTAGACTTGCATGTAAAGTAGTTCTTAAATAGTCCAAAACACAGCAGCTAGGCTGACAATCACACATTAAAGCAAAGTCTAATCTGAGTGAGTGGAACCGGTGGTTTGCACTTATTTTACCTTTCATGAAAGTGCCTCTTAATTGTAAACTTTGACAGTGGACTCCTGTCTCTTCGAGAGTGTTTTTCAGTTAGTTAGAAGTTGTTTTTCTTAATCATGAAAATAATTCTGTCATCACGCCCTTTGGTTGTCTTCTGTAATGTTTCAGGCCTTTTGGTGCTGCTGAGCTGGTCAGTTTATTCATTTTTTTTAACAATGTGTCAGATCATTGATTTGGCCACTTCTAAAGTTTTCACCGTCTCTCTGAAAGGTTTGTTTTGGTTTTTAATCTAATGTCAAGTCAAGTGGCTTTTATTGTCATTTCAACCATGTACAGTGGTACAGTACAGAGTACTACTACATATGACATATAACAGGCAACACAGGACTACGTAAAGTGCAATTTGCAAAAAAATTGTAAAAATAAACAAGATAAGACAGTGCAGTGGAAATGTGCAAAATGCTGAGTATTGTGCAAAAGTAACTTGGTGTCTGTAGGTGTGTGTATGAGTGTGAGATACTGCAGATAAGTGCTTGGTAGTGACATGCATGAAGGTGTGTGTGTGTGTGTGTCAGTCCAGTCACTGAGTGTTCAGGAGTCTGACGGCTTGGGGGAAGAAACTGTTGTGTAGTCTGGTAGTGAGGCCTGGATGCTCCGGTACCTCTTCCCAGAAGGCAGCACGGTGAAGAGTGTGTGTGAGCGGTGTGTGGGGTCCTCCACAATGCTGGTGGCTTTGCGGATGGAGCGGGTGCTATCAGTGTCCGTGATGGAGGGAAGAGGGGAGAGACAGATTGTTGACTCTACACCAGTCAGTAATGACGGCCTCCCTAACTTTTATCAACATCTCTTCTGGCCTGATATTTAAAATTACAACGAAAAGCTATAAAATAAAGATTAAACACTTTGAACTTCAGATATTATGTCTGCTTCAATTTCATGGCCTCACCTGACCACGAAACTGCTTGTTAGGCAATTTTCCAGTTAATTTTTGACTGGAAATAGGGAATGCAATTCCAAAACAATTCATGGAAAAGTTTTGTAAAACCCTTTCAGTTAAAGTTGAAGGTTTGCAACCATTCATGTGTTGATTGTGATGGTGTATGATGACAAAACTACAAAAAGTTGCTCCAACAAGTTGTGAGCCCAACTCCTTTTGTTACATTGTGCAACTGATGATTTTTTATTTTTTTTTAAATGGGCAGGAGTGTGAAAGGTTTTCTGTCTTGATATAGAGAAACTGAAGCATTATATAATAATAATTATAATAGGGCTTGATATAAGGGGATGTGGTAAAGCCCTGTAGTTTGAAAAGGGTCATACTACAGAAAGGTGCGGCGTCAGGGTGATGAAAATCTGCTGCTAAAACTTCTTTCACAACTCTAAACCAGATTATATTGCAACAAGTAGAGCTTATTGTCCTTTATTTATTTATTTTATTTGTTTCATTACATTTTTTAATGTGATTTTTTTTTTAAAATTCATTGACTACATTTAAAAAAACAGTTATGAAAAACACTGCAGCCTAAATATTTAGTTAAAGACAGAGTAGACAAATGAAATAAAGAAACAACATGGTATAAATTTATACCATGTATATATTTGTGTCACTTTTAATTTCAAATCAACCGATGACCTGATTAATAAAAAAAGAAAATATTGTTAATAGTACAGATGACATCATAGACAACAATATTAACACCAGCTGACTTTTTGGTGGCTCGTTTAATATGCATTAGCTCACATTTCTTACTTAGTGCACTTGTTTTGATAGAATTAGGCCTCCAAAGGTCAACACTCTTTCACCACATGTGTAGAACAAGCTTTTCAATTCCTGTAAAAATACTAAAAGTACCACCACACTCTGAAATAACACCCATCCTGTCCTCCTTTCAGTCTCTGTGCTTTGCCTGCTGCCTCAGGCGGTGCTGGCACGGTGGGCTTGTGTTCGCGCCTGCCCACCATCCTGCACCTGCACGCAGGAGAAGAGCTGCAGCGTGCTCTGCGACCGCTCCGGCCTGGCTGAGCTGCCCAAAGAGTTTCCGTGTGAGGCCTCCGCCATCAACCTGGACAAAAACAGGCTCAAGTTCTTGTCAGAAAGGGCCTTTGGTACCCTGCCCTCCCTCAAGTCTCTCTCTCTGGACCACAACAACATCTCCTTCATTACCCCAGGAGCCTTTAAGGTTTGCTGAATGTTCTGCTGAAGGATTTTGTAACCAAAAATGCAAACACGTAACAAACAGGTTTCTATCCAGAGGTCAGTTTGTCTCCTGCTATGGAAATGCTGAAAATTTCTTTCCTTTTAGCACTACTTTGTTGACCTGGGGAGTTTAACAGACCAGAGATTAAACAAAAACTACCAGAAATCAAAAAGAAAATACAAGCTAATAAGGAAGCATCCTCACCAGTTTCATAACATGTAGACAATTTATATAAGATCCTGTGTAAATCATCCCCACAAAATATATGCATATATATATAAACTGCCTGAATGATCATGTGAGGAAACCCATCAACATGCAGAAATACAAAAAAAAATCTACACTTTCAAGCACTACTGTATCTTAACTAGATTTGTTAAAATTCATTTTTATATTTTTAGAGTTTTCAGACTTGACTAACAGCTTCTGTCACGCAGGGCCTCTCTAACTTGGTGGAGCTGAAAATGGCGCACAACGAGTACATCAGCTACCTTCACACACGAACTTTCACAGGGCTGAAGAAGCTGGTGCGCCTCGACTTGTCCGACTGTAACCTGTTCAGCATCCCTGATCGTATCTTTATAGAGCAAACGGCACTGAAGGAGCTGCTCTGCTTCCAAAACAACTTCAGGAGGATCCCGGGGGCCATTAGAGGCATGGAAAACCTGACTCACATCTATCTGGAGAGAAACAAGATAGAGGCAGTGGCCTACAACTCCCTGCTGGGCCTGGGTAGCCTCAAGTAAGCCACAGGCTCCAAGCTCATGCATGAAGTCACATAGCTACCACCAGGCATTCATTTATTGACTGAGGTTTTGCATAAACTCTTATGCTTATTTCCAGCTACAGATTTTTATTCCACAGTCACAGTTCAAAATACTGCTTATTTATCTCATGCAGGGTCTCATTGCACACTCAGTTCATCTTCTGTTTGAACTAAGCATTCAGAAGTTCAAAGTTTGTGTCTTCATCCTTAGTTCATGCACTACTCCCATCCTGTTTTCAGAGATTTTACAGATGACATGGAAGAAAATTATTTTGTGCAAGTGTGGTTCCTGGTGTGAGTCTGCAGTGCCTAAGGTAGCATGTGCAATTTTCTGTGCTGAAGCAAAAGCATGACAAACTGAATATTGGTAGCAAAGAAAGGCTGTCTAAATCTAACACAGCCACTGATCTTCTCTTATTGTGTAAACCAGTTCATTCTTTCAAACATCTTTATCTCTCTCAGGTACCTGAACCTCCAGGAGAACCGCATCAACGTGATCCATGAGCAGGCCTTCCAGGACCTTACGCGGCTGGAGAACCTTTACCTCAATGACAACTTGCTGTCTGATTTGCCCAAGCTCGCCTTCAAAGGCCTCAGCCGGCTCAAGATGCTCAACCTCGGGGGTAACCAGTTGACCAACCTGTCCAAGACCTGGTTCAGTGACCTGGTGGAGCTGGAGGTCCTGTACCTAGACAGGAACCAGCTGCTATACATCGAGGAGGGCACTTTTGAGAACCTGACCAGCCTAATCACCCTCCACCTGAACAGCAACAATCTTACCACCCTTCCCTTCCCTGTTTTCCAGCCCATCTACTTCCTGGGCCGGCTTTACCTCTTCAGAAACCCCTGGGAGTGCGACTGCTCCCTTGAGTGGCTGAAGGAGTGGATGGAAAACTACAAGCTAGTGCGGGACATCCCCTGCGCTTCACCTTCCTCTGTGGCCGGACTGGATCTCGGTGAGGTGGTCTTCGCCAAGGTGAACGGCACATGTGTGGACCCCGGCGATCTCAACCTAACTACGGCCTCCTCGGAGATCGCCTCCACCACAGAGAACCGCTTCAAAAGCCTCATTTTCACACTGATCCACACGGAGTTCGGGGATCAGATGGGGAACGGCACAGAGAGCCTCCGCAACGGCACCCTGATTGAGAGCGAGGATGGGCAGCTCTCTGCAGGGGTCACAGGTCAACGGGCCTGGCCAAGCGAGTCTCTTTTTTGCTTCGTTGTGATGTGGCTCAGCTTGGGTTTGATTGGCCAGTCAGATCTTTTTTTCTCTCTGTACTGCACGTGAGAACAGTGGAGATGAGATCTGCTTCATGACCCACATGAGGAACATGGGAAGCTCCCGAGATAAAAGATGGTTTTATTTATTCATGCGAATATAAAAGGGTTGCTATTCATGTTTGCGTGTGTTAATACTCTGATGTAGGATTTTGGGATTGTTTTCCTGGTAAAATGCAAAGAGGGGAAACCGAATATTTTCAGGTAAGAAGGACTGGATGTGGTTTACCATACTGGTTATAGATTAAAGATTTATATATACTACTTCATATGTGATCATGCTCCTCCTCGTACATATACAAATCTGTACAGTGGCAGGATTCATCTGTGCAATTGCAGTGGCAATGAAACTCAGACTGTGTAAGCTAACATCTAGTTTTTTTGTTGCATAAGTCGTCATTTTAATTATGATGTAATATTCATAGCGTTACATAGTCCGACTATTTTGTTTTTGTATTTTCGTTCACAATGTTAAAGGAGATGAGAGCTCCTGTAGTTATCTCCTAAACACATGTCCGCTCTTTTTTTGTGTGTAGGCTCTGCAGCTTTTCCACAAATGCATTAATCTTCTTACCGCACGCGGCTCGGTGTCGTCGCTGCTTGTGTGTGCTATAAAGTAACACAGACGGACTTTATCTTTGCCTCTAGTGCATGGGTATAATCTCTCTCTATACAGGGACTGTGGTGAGTCATTGCCATATATTGTGGATGGGGGGCAGTGTCAAAGCATGTTTAATGCATATGTACACACTTACACTGTTGTGCTTTGTGTGGCTGACATACCATAACACAGGCGACTGCTTTCTTTCTACCCCGGTGAGTGTGAGTAGTTTGGTCAGACAGCCTGTGGTGCAGTTCAGTTTTGTTATTAGACACAATGCTCTGTCAAAATCTATTTTTCTAAATAAAATAAATAATTAAGCTTTCAATGTGGTGGCTCAGTGACTCCTTTCAGCATGAGTCGAGGGGTTGACCCGTTTCACTTAATCCGCCCAGTGGCCTCTTTGGCTCGTTAATGTGGGATTATGCTGGGGCTAAGACAAGCGAGGAGGCTGATGTCGCACCTCGTCCCTCTCCTGTCGCTCTCAACATTTTCTTTTGCTCGTCCAATTCCAGGTCACAGGGGAGCAGGAGGAGTCTGTCCCAGCTGTCATGGGAACGGGAGGAGAGGCACACCCTGGACAGATCGCCAGTCTGTCGCAGGGCTGCAAAGGTTCATATCTGAACAAATTTCTAATGTGATAACAGCTATGACAGACTTGCATTAATTAATATAACATCATCTCTAGTCAGTGGAATTTCCAGGCACCTTTCCAAGAATTTATGATTACATGTTAAACCTTTCTAGGAAATGAACTGGAAACAACAGAAACTGTGATCAAGGGGGAAATCCTTCTGCTTTGAAGATTAGAAACATTATTTCATGTCTCATGGAGATATCATGTAACATATGTGATGTAGTATCAGGATTGTTCAGTACAGCACACATAACAATCATAGCAAATAGAATAGTACACTTAGAGATTAAATTTACTTCTCAACATATAACATGTTGGAATTATCTTAACAACATTTACTGCACTATAATGCACTGAGTGTTGTTACTTACTGGTGCTTTGAATATTTTACTACCTGTGGTCATATGTGTGCATGGTGGCAGGGCTATGCTTGTTTAGCTCTCTGAGGTCTAAGTTATCATAGGTGCCAACGTTCTCCTAACCCTGTATTTTGGAGAAGGGCACATGTTGGCCAATTAGAATGATTAATTTGCTCATTTTCCGATCACCAAGACTTAGAAAACAGTTTAATACAAACAAAAGCCCAGGTCTCGAGGATAAACAGCAGTCATCTGGGAATTATGCACTCAGACTGTCATGTCTAAAGTTATAACCCTCTGTTGCCATACAGCATTTAGCTTTAATCTAATCCTAAGGAAACAGAATATATATATATTTTCTTTTTATTAAAATATTCTCCAAAGTCATGGCAATCACAAACTAACTGACACAAAAAAGACAGTTTTGGCCTTCTTTAAAGTACAGTTTGTCACCCATGATGACTCAGACCTCAGCGAGTTAAAGGGAAGCCTGGTGGAGCTGCAGCCTATCAATCAAAGTGCTCTATTAGGATATAATAACTGGGATTGTCAATGAAAAGTCAGGACTCTTGCGATCACATAATGACTATATACTCTGTTATTGCATTACCAATAGTCTGATAGATAGTGCTAGAGACTAGCTTACCAACGAAATGAGCATTTAGCAGCTAAAGCAGCAGCTAGTTCCCACAGGAGTTGGTGGAGCCCAAAAACACACTGACTTTGTAAAGGTGGCAATGATACACAACAAATGGAGACCTCATTTCTAATTCACCACTACAGTGTCCTGACTTGAAATCTCAGTTGTAGCACTTTCTTTTGTTTTTCTTTTAATTTCAGCTATAGCCAGTTAGCTTTGTTGTATTTTGTTTTTCATAGACACAGATAGTTGCTAATCAGTGCAACTCATCAAAACTGAAAGCCAAACTTACAGGTCTGTTAGTAACCACATAACCATATAGCTACATTAAAATAATCCCTCATGGTACATACGGGTATAAGATCAAGTTCAGTGACTCCAGTTAGAAAATGTGAAGCCCAATGAATAGCTATTGTTTACACTTGCACATGTGTGTCAGCTGGTAATTTAAATATGAAGGTCTATGGAGATGTCTGTGATGGCTCACTCTTAAAGTTGGCCTGAAGTGGTGAACAAAGTTTGCCATCTCTCACTCAGAGAACCAAGGTTATAACGGTATATTCTGTAAATGCTGAATATATAAGCAACAATTTGCCACAAAGTTGTATCACCTTAAATGGGAAACTTTTCCCCTGGCAATACATCCATCTAAAATATTTTCATGTGAGTTTTCTTGCCTTTAATAAAATCAGACGACACTTGCCCTGTGGTGATTAAAGTGCCAAAAAAGCTACATCAAAACTTCTGCATGAAGTGAATGTAAATATTTTATTTCTCTGTGTCAGACTCAACAAATCTTCACGTTCTTTACTGTTGATCCAAGCTGGATCTCTGCCTCCACCTCAGTGATAAAAGTGTGTGAGAGGAGCGTGGTTATTGTACATTTTCCCCCACTCCCAGGGCTGTTCACTTTAAATCAGTGTGGGGCTTTCAGAGAAAGTGAAGAAGCCAGATTTAAAAAATCTATTATTTTTCTTCTTCTTGCTTAGGTAACACATCAACTGTGAGATATTTAACATCCATACCTGATAAAAAAATGAATAAAAAAAAAGAAAACGAACCACAGCTGTCCTCTGTCAACTGCTCCTTGTTTTTCTTTCCCCTGACGTTAATGCTATGGGATTATTCAACAGCAAACCACAGGTTTCAGCTCTGGAGGACTCTAATCGCTCACTTGCATTGATTGAAATCACCAAATGCAGTGTTTCAACAGAGGTCAGCTTAATGCACATTCACCTGAGGTATATAAGCCTCAGGAATGTATGACATGCTGGACTCCATTTATTATGCGTGACTTTAACTAAAAGTCAGGCTTTTCTTTCTGGTGGAACGATGTATGCACATACACACATAAATACATGATTAACTTCATCTTCATATGTGCCACAAGGTGAAGAGTAACAAGGTCATTTGCATCTGAAACATTTAAATTAGCCAGTTGTTTGATATGAAAAATATATTGGGAAATGCAATAGATAACACGTTTTTCTCTCTGCAGTGCAGTGTGAATGCATGCTGTGTGAAACAACACAGCTTCCTGTTGCTGTTGTACTTATGCTGCTGAATGAAGGCCAAAAGCGTGTTTTGCAGAACATTACAATGATGTGTAACAATTTCACACTGGCCTTAACCACCAAAATCTAATGAGTTAAGAAGAGGATTTTGGGGCCATATCCATCAAGGTATTCCTGAGTTTGCCAGTATGAAACTTGGATAGATGGACGTGATACTTCAGGCTGAGGCTTTCCTTTTGGGGAGATTTTGTGTAATGACCCTATCTGGCCTCAATAATCCATGCCCGTTATATTGTTTTTTTCATCCACTGTGGTCTGCCTCATCTGCCCTTGCTGCTGGTACCGCCTCTCTGCTTTATGTGTACACGTTTTCCCGGTCTGACCTCACCATAACCAGGCTGATCCAACGAATGCACACCTCTCAGCCTGCAGGAACTAAAGGATCTCCTGCCAATGTTCTGAGGCGCATGTTGAGACTCTGATGGAAGAGAACGGCTCTGGCAGAACAAGGTGACCTCTATAATTAGGCTGATGATTTGAGCAAGATTTGAGCATTTTTAGTTCAAATGTAGTTGCAAAATCAGGATTAGACAAAAGTCTTAAAACTAAAAGCAGATTTGTCAGTGTTTGGGATGGGAACCACTGCACTAAACGACCTAAAATCATAGTAAATAATTGCAGCTGGCTTCACTTTGAGCTACTTCAAAACGTAGTAAATGTGAATTAAAAATCTAGTATTGCAGTAAAGTGTAGTATGAACCTTTTGATTTTATGCTGCAATAAAACTAACATGTGATCAGCCCAGAAAAGCACCTGCCTGGATTCATTGGTTTGGATCGAGCTGCAGTTGCTGACAGGCAGTGCTGAAGCTGGAGGGATGTGCACAAAGCATTTTCTTACAGGAAACCAACTTTTATGTTCCCAGTCTGAAAATCTGCTCGTAGCTCAAAAACACACACTTGTACTAAAGAGACAGGGATCTGGGAATAATGAAACAATACTGTGTTACCTCAGAAGCAGGCGGCTCTCTGAAACGATTTCTCTGTTCCCAACTCTGTTAACAGGAGTTCAAACTGCGTCACTGACATCCTGAAATATGTATGAAAGCGGTACATAGCTTTAGCTCCAGAATCAAACCTCAAAATTCTCCCTGCTGGTGTCTTGTGGTGAGAACTGGATGAAGCCAAAGTCTCAGTTGTCCCTGAATAAGAAAGGGCCTTCCCTTTTTTGTTCAGGGACATCAGGACCTTGATGTTGACTGATTTTTTTTTTTCACACTGAAACATACGTTTGGATGCAAAAACTTCTTAATTTTCTGTCGTTTTTACACACTTGGTGTGTAATGGCAGTTAGCCCATCCCTTTTTTAACCTTC